TGTACAAGACAAATGGACTTCACATGAAAGAGAATTCTAGATCACAGGGATGGATGGATGGATGGATGGATGGATGGATGGATGGATGGATGGATGGAGCCTAATGCTACATTTGAGGCAGAGTTAGGGGAGGAACTGTATTTCTGTTGTGGGGTTGGGATTATAACCTAATTGGTGTGTAACTTAATATTCATACAGCATGTTTTCTAGATAGTCAAAGTACCTCAGAAAAGTTCTCATTATTAAGAACAGTTTGTATGGAAGGCTTGATTTTAATATGCCACTATTGCTGATAGATGGTTAAGGCTGAAAAGCTACTTTTTTGCTCATGGAGTAGTTTGCAAATTCAAGATTTAACTAAGATTAGATCCAGGGATATCCAAGTAATTTGAAATTACTTTTCTTTTTTGTTGGAACTGTTCTGAAATTAAACAGGCTTGTATACTGAGAGAAAGAGTCAGAAAATGACCATCAAGCTCTTAACCCTTTTAAAGAAAGGGCTTTAAAGACATACCTGTTTCAGTTGTTTGCAGAAGATTTAATCCAAGAAATTGAAGATTTCGATCCTTTAAACCGTATTCAAAACATACACTGGGAGCAACCCATTTATGGCTGTTACTAGTAGAGTTTCCAAAAGACCCACATGAGGAAGACAAATAGGAGAGTCCCATTGTATTCTCAGTTTTAAGATACTCCACCAGGTAAAAGATATTTATCAATATTTACTTATTATGTAACCCATCTTTGATTATCTTCAAATAACCGAATTATGACTAAGAGGGGAGCCTCTTTTGATCAGAACTGTGCTTAGCTAGTTTTCTCTCTTCTGCAGTAGAGACTGAAAATACTGTTTTGTAATCTGAAGAACTATTGAAGAAGAGGCAGAAATTAGATTAATTCCATTTTATAAATCCATTATATAAATCATTTCAGATTCCAATGTTGGAATTAGCAGTTGCTAAATGAATAGATTTACATGGCCTTATTTGTCCTTTTCCCTTACATTTCATCAGCCTGGCAAACTCAGTCCTTATGTCCTTGTTGTACAATGAATACACAAAAGGATTTATCAGAGAATTCATCTCTCCTAGGAGCAGTAAAGAATCCCTCAACAGTGGATTCAGGTTGCAGGATTTACAGGTAGCTTTCACAATGGCAGTCCCATAATAAGGACCCCAGAATACAATGAAGCAAACAATCACAATAAGGATAGTCCTTAGAGCTTTGAAATAACGGAGATGAGCAGAAGAGATATCTGCATGCAAGCAGGAGCGCTGGATCTGCTTATGCTGTAGATAAGCAATCTTCCCTACTGAGATATGCAAACACACCAAGGTCAGCAATGCAGGGATGAAAATGCCAAAACAGATTATGTAGAGGTAGTCACTTTTGGTAGCAGACAGGAGCCCACAGTTACCATTTAAATCCTTCTGCCGCAGTCCTGAAGAAATAAGTGGCATGTGTCCCACTAAGAAGGAAAGAACCCAGAGGACTACAAGAGAAAGGATTACACGTTTCTTGCTCACGAGTGAGGGGTAATGAAGGGGAAGCTTCACTGCCAAATACCTGTCCAGAGAAACCAGGAGTAATGTGAGAATAGAACCAATACAAGGAGTAATACCCATGCAGATCCTCATAAGACAAAGAAACAGGTTTGTATCAAACAGTGCATCTGTTGCATCATCCAGAGCATCCCCAATGCACATCACACCCACAAGCAGATCAGCAGCTGCCAAGTTGAGGATGAAGACATAATTTCTGCTTGATCTCTTCTTCTTCAGCCGACAGATGACAATGATTACCAGTAGATTAGCAGATGGGATGAATATACTTAAGATGACATGTAGCACTGCATAAACGATAGTTGGCATCTTGTTTAGTAAACTGGTGGATACATTAGCTTTAGATGTGCCTTGCATATACAAACTGTATCAAATCTTCACAAAGCAATATCATTTTAGGAGTAAATATGTTTTCCAATCACCAAACTGTTTAGTCACAGCAACAAGAAATGAAATGCTGGTGGCTACAATCCTTGTCTCTAGTCAGATGGTTTTCTTCAAATTGATAGATGTTCTGCTCCAACATCTTTGTTGTTGTCAGTTTCCTATTTTTCTCTTGCCAAATTCATGGTACTCTTCCGCTGGCAGAGAGACATCTGAAGATATATGGAGGACCAAAGTCCTGCCAGTTAAAAGCTTCAGGAAAAATGAACTAATTAGCTGAAATGGAAGGGATGCAAAACAGCCTGGAAGCAGATTTGTTCAATTTCTGAAATTCTCTGATGCAGAAAGATAAGGGAGGAGTTTAGCAAACAAAAAGAGACACCGCAATCTCAGTAACCATTAGACATCTAAGGGTGTGTGACTGTTTGCCTTCTCCATGCATTAAAACGATCTTGTGTGATGAGGTGACCAATAAATAGAACATATCCATGGGGTCCCTGGTTACTGGATCCTGGGAGGAAAACTTTTTGGTTATTACAGAGATCCAAAAAAGGTACTTTTCCCCAGCTAAGCAGATATTGGATTTAAAATTGGAATGTAAACTAGAAAAAGTTGCTGGACTGAAAGCTTTGTAACTTGCTTGGGTTCAAGGGGATTGTTAAACAAATGATTAGGAACACAGCATTTTCTACATTTACATTTGATGAAGCACCAACAAAGTAATTTAACACTACTATAACTCAACAGTTCTAATATTTAATGCTTTCTGTCAAAGCACAACAACTGCATTAAACAGAACACACATTATTGATATTTTGTTAACAGGTCTAAAAACCCTAACCCTATAGGCTATATCCTTCAATGAAATACTGATGCAAATATTACAACTAAAAACATTACAAACAATCTTTGTAACTTGAATCAAAGCTACCATTGTCTCAGCTATCCAAAAATGTACTTAGGAAAAAAAATAACCATGGGTCATTAAATTACGCTTTTGTTGACCACATCCAAAACAGTGTGTGCAACTTATTTTACCTCAAAACAAGTTTCAAGTGCTACACACTTGAAATCAAACACGCTGTATTCTGAGAATTTTGCTTTGAAACTGGGATGCAACTTGGTTCGTCATCATTTCAAATATTCTGAATATTTCCAACTCTATGATCATCACTATGGGCTTAAACTGGAGGGGGTGATGTGGGAGAGCTGAGAGGAAAGCAGCAACCTAGCACTTGGGCAGACAAAAACAAACCTCTCTCTGGAGCTGCATTTTGCAAGACGGCCTAGTAAGTCACTACAGCTTATTATTTGCTATTGGGACTAAGAATTCATATAGACAATTAAAATTTATGGGTGGGTGAGTTCATTGTCTATGTATCATTCTATTTATATAACACATACTCACTAGACTCTGAATGGTTTACAATTAAAAAAACAACAGCAGAAAAGCCCATAAAATCAGAACCCACTCCAGGAGCCTCATAAGCTAAAATCAGAAATATAAAAAACTAAATAACCCCCCAAAGCAACTCACCATAAAGCATTAAGCTTCAAATGTCTATTCAAGAGTGGTGCACAACTGGGGGGGCTTCCTAGACTCACAGCTCCTGCTCAATGAGCAGGCAGCAGCTGTGGCCTTTGCACAGCTTCATCTGGTCCACCAGTTGTGCATTTTCCTAGAGCAGGAGGTCCTTCCAACCATTACTCATGCCCTAGTCACTCAGAGCTCAATTACTAAAAAGTACTCTACATTGGTCTGCCCTTGAAGACCACTCAGAAATTTCAACTGGTCCAAAATATGGCAGCGCAGGCAGTGACAGGCATCCTCTGGTATGCTTATGTGACACCCTTGCTTTGCAAACTGCAGTGGTTGCCAGTTTGCTTCCAGGTGTGATTCAAGTGCTGGTTATGATCTATAAAGCTTTACATGGCATAAGGCCTGGCTATTTGAGAGACTACCTGTTTTCAGTAGCATCCACCTGTCTGGTTCAAACCAACAGAATTAATTCGCTCCAGATCCTTTTAATTAAACTATCATTTTTCAGGACCCAGGTAGCGTGCCTTCTCTGCCATGGTGCCTGATCTCTGGAACAAGATCCCCCCCTAAAATCTGGGTGGCTCCAATTATTTTATCATATTTATACATATTATGATGTATTCCAGAGGGCCTTAAAGACCTGGCTCTTCTCCCAGGCTCTGGGCTAGGGTGGTTAGAGCCCCTGCCTGATGCATGATATTTGTTTTATATGTTGACTGGATTTGCCATCTGTTTATTATTTATGTAGCTTGTTATTTTTATATTCTCTTGTATTATGAGCCTCCCAGATTCAGTCTGGAGTCTAACAGCGCCTAAATTGAATAAATAAACATAATATAATCAAATTCACACGTTTTTTGAGCACTGACAACTTGGGGACAATCTGACCTTGGGGGCAAACTATCTTGCAATGATGGGGAAGCCACCAAGGCCTTTCTTCAGGTACTCAGCCATCTTAACTCTGAGGAGGAAAGAATCCAAAGTAACCCTTCTTGGGTTAAAATGGGTAAGATGTATTGATTCTGTTCGAAGGAGAGTCTTGAAAGTTACCAGAAGCCAAGCTTTGTAAGGCTTGATATGTTAATATGAACACTTGGAAACTTATGCAGCTCCTGCAAAATATCCTTCCCACTGCTAAAATGGCTTTCACCAGCTAAAGTAGGCAGACACATTGTGTACCAACTGCAGCTTCCAGGAAGCTTTCAAAGGCAGCCCCAAGTAGAGTGCATGACTGTATTGTAGGTTTGAGATGACAAAGATATAACTGTCATTGCTCCAAAAAAAGAGCTGCTATTGGAATACAGCAAAAGCTGGCAAAACAGTAGTTGTGAGTCCAGGAGCCCTCCCCAAGTTATAGACCTGCTGTTTCAGAATGAATGCAATCCTGTCCAGAGCCAACAAAGAAGTACTGTAGACATAGAGCCCAATGGTTTCAACACAAACAGCAGCAGCATCTTGCTACGATTTAGCTTTAACCTGGTTAATCCTACCTAGTCCACAACAGCCTCCATATATCCACTAAATCTCCAGATAACAATTAATTTCAAGTTTGGCATGGGGTGGAGGTAGATGGTTATCACCAGCATATCGACAATACCTTGCCCCAAACCAACAAATGACTGTTCCAGTGGTTTCGTACAGATGTTAAATAGTATGTGCTTTCTTTTGCAAGCAGCTAGTAAAAAGAAAGCAGGTAAATGGAGAAGAATGCACAGAAAGATGTGAATCTCTACTGTGCTTCACAAACATGTGCAAATACTGTTGAAGTTATAAATACAAAGACTGCTATTATGTGTTTTTAGCCTGGATTTAAAAATTCAGTGTACTGGTTTAGGCTGCTTTTGAGCTTGGTTATATACATGTTTGGCTACTTCTTGGAACTACTGATGAGCTTTCACAATGGTTTTCTTGTTGTACAACCTCACACAGTAACTGACTTATTTTATTTATAAGCACATGTACATGCATGCAAGAACTAAGCAAAGTAGAATTGTATAATTTGGCTGTGAGAGGGACGGAAAAATGGTAAATTGGTTTACAAAGAAATTGACAGGGGACCTTTTAAAATATTTTAAAAACCAAAAAATGAAAGGCATGCAATTTGTCCTGCCTGGCTTATTTCTAGGTTGGGATATGCCAACTGAAAACAATCGAGTTGTACAATACTCACAAATGAAGATTTAAAAACACCTCTTTATTGAGAAGATGGGATATTCTGATAACAAATTCTTACTAAACATTTTGCCCATTGCTATTACAATAACTTCTTATGGGGAATGCTTTAAAATTTCCAAAAATTATCTAGAGATCATCACTTTGGCTAATGTCTTTACAAATTGGGTGGCTGGCAATAACAACCATAAACGGCAATTCCACCTACTCTTCTAGCAAACCAAGAGTACAAGATAGCAAAAGGCTTGTTCCAAATTCCCTTTGTTTTCTATGTATTTTGTTTTGTTCCCATCGTTTTCTGTTCATTTTATTGAGCTGGGATACAGGCCACATTACTTTAATGCTGTAACTGGAAGTATCAGTTTAAGGATTGTTTAAATACAAGACTGTTGTCTGATAAATAGAATAAAACATAGCACGGCAATTCTTTTCTACAATAAGGAAAGACTTGACATTATATATACACTGAGGATATTAGTTTCTAAAAAAATTATCTAGCATTTTTTTCTAAACAAAAGCAGCACATGTAATAAAAAGCAGTGTTCGTGACAATTTTGTCTCTATATATATGTAAGGAAAGAACCAAAATAGCTTCTCCATAATTATGAAAAATTGTAGTTTCAAACTACTTTTTCAACTGATCTATCTTGAATGAGTTAGGAACTACTTCATGCAAGGTAAGTATTTCTAAATATTATTAGCCTAGATGTTTCCACATTTTCATCATCAGGACAAAAGTTTAGGGCTGATCAATTAAATCCAGACTACTTTTTATCATGCCAGACCTTGAGAAGAATAAGCTAATACAGCAGAAGAAAGAGTGCTGATTGGCGAGCATCAAAAGTCAGTGTCAGAGATAAACAAGCTTTTGTAGGTTACTGAATTAAGATGGCTGTGAGAAAGAAAAACAAGATTTTTCATACATGACATTATACAGAGATAAGTGAGCTAATTGATATAAAATTCCCTTGCTTGAGATAATGAGAATGCTATGGCTAGAAGAGATTGTGTAATCTTTACCTGGGATAAAGCATACTGTTAAGAAGCAGACAAATAGAATATAAAAGAAAGATATGGCTGATGAGTTGAGAGTGTGACATAAAATACGTGTAAAACATTTTTCTCACACCCCTCAAATAGTAACCTATAAAATGTATCTTGATACTATAAGCTAAGGAAGTACAATTGGGATTTACAAAGAGCTTTAAAATATTTTAATGAGATATAAGGAGGAGAAAAAGAATTGGCACAATAAGATGTCAAGCTTGAGGCAGAACAAACTAGTTTTAGAAAAGATCCTAAATTATGCTCACATATGGCATTATAATGTTATAATATGAGAGTTAATAGAGCAATGTTAAACTTAGAGAGATAAGAAATCATAAATTATAACAAAAATCAAGTACTCAGCAGAAAAATCATCTATAAATTCTGGAATTAAATAAAGCTATACTTTGCTTTCTAGAACAAAGTACTCTTGCTGGGAGAGGGGAAACAAATATACAAGCACACACATTTGAGAAGGGGGAATTTTACAGCATAGAAGCACAGATGTACTTTACTCTGCTATATTTAGTTAACCACATAGAACTAGTTTAACCCAGTCTTAACTCTAATTCACTAACAACTTATCCTCTGTTCAAACAGTCTATTCATTAAGTTCACAATTCAGATTTTATGTCAGCCATTTTGAGATAGATATTGCCAATCTTCTCATTAATGACCACCAAAAGAGATGCAGTAATAGCTCTGTAAACACTATTTAAAGGAGTCTGTACTTTTGGGTTGTTTCTAAGCAATTAACACAGGATCATCGGCCAAGCTTTACAGCCTGAAGCTTTTATTTGTTTTTAAAAGAGTAACTAATTATAACAGCTTTTCACAATCAGTGTCCACCACATGTACCAGATTAGATCTTCACCTCTGACTGATTAAAATTTTAGAGCAATTTAATGAAAATACGGCTTGGAAACAGAATCAAGTCTTAGAAAATAAGCTACATTTATATTTGGAATGCCAAACTCTTAATACAGATAAGATCACCTCATTCAACATTCTAATTCCAAGGCCACATACACTATATCTGTATGTGTAAACCAATTTGGAGTACTTTCAG